CCCTCCCAGAAGGTCTCATCCATTTTAGTTCATCCCCACCATGTCCAGTGCCCACCTTCTAAGTCTCTGGTCCGGTTGTACCTCTCTTCACTATAGAATGGCTCGGTGACCCCTACTGCCCTCAGGGGCCAAATCCAGACTCCCACTCCACCACGACCCCCCTCCTGCCCACCCCTCAGCACCTTTCCCCTTGTACTATAGAGCATGCACCACATGCACAAAATTGGATTCCCTTGGACACACTGGGCTATCCCTCTCTTGTTCCAACCTGGCCTGATCTATCCCCTCTGCCAGAGCTGCCCTCCCACCCCCAACCCCACCTCCACCTCATCTGCCCCCATCTTCAGTGGCTTTCATGGCTCTGCTGTAGACAGCTTTTCTTGTTCAGTTTGGGCATGTCCCCCTCTGGCCCTGCAGCCTCCCGCACTTCTCACACCCAAGTGACACCACATTGTTTTGGGGCTGATATTCACTCACCCCCACCTAACCATATGAGTTCACAAGCTCCCTAGGGCAGTAGATGTGCAGGTCTTATGCACCCCAGTGTCTTCAAGGCCTAGCACAGTGCTGGTATCTCTAAGGATTGAACAAATGGGTGAAAAGAAAAGAGACAGCTGGCACCGGGAGATGGGGTCTCCCTGGAGACCAGATGCTGGTCTTTACCTCCAGGGACTGAACCAGTAGGGATGACTGGGCCCCACGCTAATGGAGCCAGGGAGGAAGGTGCTCCATCAGTCAGGAGGCCCAGCCTGACATCTGCCCTGGGCAGGGTCACAGCAGCACCAGGCCTGTGCAACTTAGCTCAGCTGAACTTGGACCTTGGCATCTGCCATATGCCAAGACATGGCAATTCTGGGAAGTAGGAAGAAGGTGGCACAGATGAGCCTGGCCTCCAGAGAGCTCAGTCAGGACCAGGCTATGCAGGTCAAGGTCCAGACAAGAGAGAGTTTGGTAAGGACTGGAGCTGGTGGCTATAGTGGGGATCCTGGAAACGGGACCCCTTTCTCTGTAGTCCCTGATACATCAATACCAATGCCCTGCTTGGTATGGCCAAACAAACCGGAAGAGCTAGGCTCACGACCTAGGTTTCATCCTCATCCCTTTCCTCAAACCACCCTCTCCCTTCCTACCCCTGCTGGCTCCTCCACCCCGAGTCCCCTCCACTCCATCGGTTCCCCTCATCCCTACACTGCCACTGACACAATGCACAGCGCCCACGCTTAAAAATCTAAATGCTTTTGAAAATGTTTAACCTAGTTAGACAAATTAGCAAAAATTTGTGCAAAACAATTTAGGTATTTAAAATATTCAATGTTTTTAAAAAACTGGAAAACTGTTCTTAGCTTTCAGCTGCAAAAACCAACAAAATATAACATCCCAGCAATCTTACCATGAGGTGTAACATAACCCTTCGGGAAAGCTGTTAAACAGCTACTGAGGCATCCTGGGAAATAGCACTTCATTTATTCAAATGCACATATGTCAGGCTTTTGCACCATATGTCATTCCAAGCTATTTACAGTAATAATTAAATCTTAATCAACGTTTAACCTCTGTAAAATGTTTGAAGAATCCTAATCACCCTTCAGACTGCACTAATGAAGGAGAAATATATAAACATAAAAGGAAAATGATGCATAGATAACACACTGGAAAGAACCAGTAATTGCAAAATTGTATTTCTTTTAAATATAATCAGTAAATGATGTAAAGTAAGCCAAGGAGTATTTTAAGTTAAGACATCTTGGATGTCAGAGGTGTGAGCAGCTAATTTTGTTCTGCTACCCATAACAGATGTAGCATATTTTATTTTAGTGCCATTATTAGCAACTTCCCATGCAGGCTTTCACTGAAGCACTGAGGCCCGCATTAAAATCAGAGAGGCTGCTCAGCACGGAGGTGGAGGACCACGGCCCAGGGCCACGGCCCGTAGTGTCGACTCCTTGGAGCGTGCAGGCCTGGGGTAGACTGAGCCCTCCCCCTCCCAGCACCTGAGGCTCTCTTAGGCCCCCTCTGAGCTGAGGGTAGCAGGTAGGAGGGAAGTATGGGAGATGCAGGCAGTGGGAAGGCTCTGGGGGAAGTAGTGAGGTGCAGTGGAGCTCGGGTTTGGGGACAGAGGTGCCGTGCTAGGGCTTCTTTCCGTCCCAGCCCGTCAGCTCTATGGGCAGCAGAGGTTTATGGCCGCCAACTCCGTGTATGGGGCTGAGTACACAGAGATGCCGAGAGCAGCCCAGGCCCTAGAGAAGCTCCAAGTCCAGGGGAGGAGTCAGTGAGTGAAAGCAGATGGATTCGAGAGAGACAAAGTGCCACGGAAAATGAAGAGGGGCCAGGGTTATCCCTTACTGAATCAGGAAGGAAGACTTCTCAGAGGAGGTGGGCCAGGAAGAAAATGAAGGCTTTTGATAAGAGAGGGTAGAAAAAACTTGCTGGGTGAAGGAAAAAGCTTTAGCGGGCCAGCGTGGGCAATTGGGGTATGAAGCAATGTTGGGTTTCTTAGGAATGTGACAGCAAATGGAGGCCAGGACAGACAGGACCTTGTAGGCTGCACGAAGGTATCTGAAGGCAACAGGGAGCCATGCAAGGGTTTTGAGCAGGGGTGGCCACAATCCAGACTGTTTTAGAAAGGTCTCTTCAACAGTAGAGGTGTGGAAGGTGGACTAGGGGGCCAAGTGATGGGGCAGAGAAGTTTCCTGGGAAGCAGCTGCTAGAGTCAGAGAGGTGCCATGTTCTTCCTTTTATTGCTGTCAGTGGGGACAGGTGGGAGGGTACACTGAGGATGCTTTCTGAGGATGAAATCCATAGGAGTTGATGACCAATCCCATGTGGGGGTGAGAGGGAGGTGTCAAGGATGACTGTGCTTTGGATGACTCCTAATTCTAGCTCAGGAACTGGGGTGGCTGGTAATGCCATTCTCAGAGGAGGGAGGGCTGGGGGGATGGGCTAGGAGATGGGTCAGGGTGGTCATGCTGAGTGTAGGGCACTGGTGGGTTCCCCAGTAGAGGCCTGCGAGGCAGATGGGTCCAGGGCTCTGGGCTCTGGGCAGGAGAGGCAGTCTGGAAGTGTGAGCAGAGCCAGAGCCTCCAGAGCGGAGGAGCTTGCCCAGGAGAGCAGATGGAAGGGTGGGTGCCAAGGCCTCAGGAACAGGCACATTTAAGGGGCGGGCAGGGGGAACGAGGCCATGATTCGGTCTCAGGGGACCAGCGTGAGGTTCGGAAGCAGTAACAGAGCGTTCCCAGACATGGAGCAGCCATGACCACCAGCAAACAGTCTTCTGAGTGTGGTTTCCTGAGGGCTCAGAGGCTTTGGTCTTAGCAAGTGGACTGTGGTGACCTCCTGTGGCCTAGATTTCCCAGGATCCACTCAGTGCAGACCCTGGGCACAGCCTCCCCTTCCATCAGAGGCAACTCATCTGTTAGGTCCTCTCCAGCCAGCCAGGGTTGGATGTTGGCCCAATGGTCTGCCATTGCAAGTGTCATGGGTATTGGAGACGGTGGGAGGTCTGCATGGTTGGGTTCACTAGGGGAAGCTAGGGTGGGGAACCCTCTGCTG